TTTCTGCGAGTATATATATATATATATATATATATATATACGGAAACAACGAGGCGGCGGTAGTAAGAAATTCGCGAGGAAAAGATCGATACAAGGGGTTGAACTCGGAGTGAGAAACGAGTGGAGTAAATGAGAATTTTTAGATTGGCCTTGACAAGTCGTCTGCACACTGTCATCTCGACGCGAAAGAGTCACAAAGGGAAGTGGGATGGCGAGGGTGGGCTCGGGCGAGTCGAGTACCACGTGTCTGCCATTAATTCCACTTGTGGGGCAAAGGTGGCGAGGACCGACTAGTTGTTGGATATAGCTACGAACGTATCCTCGAAGTATCTCTCCTCCGATTCTTACCAAGAGTTACTCGACTCGCAGGTAACAACGCAGGTGTGCTTCCTCGAGGAGATCGAATTCGGGCGAGAAACTTTTAAAAAGTAACGAAGAACGAATTGAACGAGTGAAATTTCGAAAGCTCCTCCTTAAAAGTATACCTTGCCTGTAGAAAAATTCAAAAAAAAAAAAAAAAAAGAAGAAAGAAAAGGAAGAGAGAAAATTTTCTCTCTCCTCTTTTCGATCGACCAAACGATCAAAGGATCGGCCGATTCGAGATTTCGAAAGAATGGCCGAATGTTTCGGTGAAAATCAGCGAGGGTAAGGGCGGATTTTGCGTACTCGGAGGAAGCCTTTCGAGATTATCCCCATAGCAACGAGAATTGCTCGATAGCAGACTGGCTAGGGGGCTCTTGAACCAAACTAACCCCCTCTCTTTCTCTCTCTCCTCCCTTCCCCTCCCCTCTTCTTCCTCCTTCCTGTTTATCGTTCGTCTGTTTTCAACCCTTGCGTCGCTTCTCTCGTTCTTAACACGAAAGGAAAAAAGAGAGAGAGAAAGGGTGCACATGTATCCACACGTGTACATATACGCGTATACACGAGAATATTTTTGCCCTTTACCATTGGGTCCTCCCTCTTGGTCCTCCTGCGCTATATTATTCACCATTCAGCTGTCCGTGAACTCTCCTCGAGCGGAGAGGGCCTTTTGTCTCGCGCGCCACTCATCCTCGCGTTCGAACGCGCGTGGCCCGCTTTGGATTACACCAACCGATGTTCCTCCTCCCGTCTTCTCATCTCTCTCTTTTTTTTTTTTTTTTTTTTTTTGCTTCTCTTCCATTCTCTCTGTCCGTTCTGCTGGAAGAAAGAACGGCTTAGATATATCGGTGGAACAACGTTACAACGAGCTCACGAGTTTCTGCGTGAAATTACATATTACGATCGTGTCGTTTGTGTATACGTTGTGTATAAGAGTCTGATAGTTTCAAAGAGTAGTTTTATCTAGAGAAAAAAACCGTGGAATTATATATGGCCACGCGTCGAAGAAATGGCTAATTAATGGTTAATAAAGGAATTAAATGGGGAAATGGTTGGAAACAGAGAAGAGCTTTGTCTCAAACTCGTTATTTGAAAAAAAAAAAAAAAAAAGAAACGAGTTCGTATTCGATGAACGCATAAGATTGCTTGCGAACGAAGTACGCGGATTTAATGATGGAAAATTATTACATCTCATCGATTTAATAAATTCGATTCTTCCAATGTTCCAATGTTCCAAGAAAGAAATAGAATGCTCTCCGCTTCTTCACAAACGGACATTTTTAGAAACGTGCCACGTGCGATCGTTCGTTTCGACATCGCATCCCCTTTGACTTGATCGGAGAAATAAAGGGGAAGAAGGAAGAAGAGGAGAATCTGTTCATCCAACGACAGCCGGCCAATTTCAACAATGGATCTTCATAGTCCTGATGAACTACTTTATTCGTTATTCAACGTTCCGTGAATTCTGGATAAAAGAGAGCTTTGTTTCGAGTGCCGCTACGAATACGCGATTCGTATCTGTGTGCAACGAGTTGCACACTGTTTACACAATGTTCGAATATTGTTAAAGAAGTGAAAGAAATTCATTCTTTCGAAAAGATCTTTTAATCTTCGAGATAAAATTTTTGGAGAAAAATTTTCCTTTAAAATTATATTTACACGTGATTATATTATTTAACTTTGTTTCTCGAAAAAAATTCAATTTACACGGATGGATGATCGATTAAAAAGCGAGCAAACTAATCGCAAACTTTCTCGCAAGTCAAGCTACGAAGAGGCTTAGTCTATAGGAAAAGGTTATTCTCGTTGTTAAGAACAAGAATAATTAACGACTGTCTGGGCCAGCTGTTCGCTGTTTTTCTCCATTTTTTCTGGAAGAAAATTGCAGAAAATTTTCTTAACAGTAATAAATAATTCCGTACGAAATTACAACTCAACTTATATAAATCCAAAATGTTAAAAAAAAAATATCTTTTCACGATTTTCCCTCGTCCATCTCCAAACTATCTCTAACTACCTCTTTGAAATGAACGGGCAATAAAACGTCATTAATTTCTTCCGAGAAGCGGGCGTCTCTTTTCGACCGAACAAAGTTAAATTGGATGCTGTTAATCTCTCCAATTTCGGGTCACCGACTCGGCCAACGAAACTAATGCCGTCTTGGTCCCCCTTCATGGTTATACATTCGGGTTAATTAGCTTCATTAAACTGGACGAGTAACGCTACTTGTTGTCAGGGTCTTCTTACTTGGAACCACATCTTCGACGGGGATATCAAGGGGAAAATTTTAATTGCATTCGTTCCTGTCCCTTCCTTGAATAATTTCCTCGATATATACTTGTGCCATACCTCGCTGTCTTCTACATATAAAATACAAAAAAACTCCTCTCGAATCTGCGGGAAAACGATCGAAACATGGATATTTCGTTCAGGGAAAAAATCCTCGAAGCGAATTTTTATATTTATTTATATTCAAATAATCATTTTCACGAAGATTCTTTCGCGAGTTTATATCGAAATTTCGAAAAAATTTTTCTTGCTTCTTAAGGTTTGTTTCTTCAATATTTCATCATATCCCTCGAATCTTCTTCTCAAACGTAGAGTGACGTTAACCTCGTAATGTTAATCATTAACGAGGAATCGTTGCGTTCGATATTAAAATTTTTACCACCTCGAAAGCCTTATTAATTATTATACCCGAGTATACAAAGTACTCCTTTCGAGGGATAACTACGCTCAATAAACTACATCGTATCCAAACAGTATCCAATCTCGAAAAGCCGATATATAATTCGATCGTTATTACTTGCTATAAACCTAAATGCAATTTTCATTAGATGAAGATCGATTTACGAGGTTCGTAAACTTTTCAACAAATCGATATATACAATATATACACGCACACATACTCTCGTGGAATCGACGAACGAAACGTCGACGACTCCTTTATTTGGATTCCTTCCGAGAAAGGAAACATCAGGATTTCATCAGGCGCCACGTGAGTCGCGAGGATACAGCGCGAAAGATTAATTTAAAAAAAAAAGAGGAAAGGAAAAAAGGAAAAGGAAAACATT